AAAGATAAACTAACCTGTACAAATAATAATACTAGAATTACAGAATGTGCGCAGAGAACACTGTTTTAGTAAGAAAATTCACTTAACAACTACACAATCATAAAATATAAGTATTAAATAATTCGAAAACATTAAAATCAAAATTTTGTAAAAATGTTGCCTTTGACCTATTTTGGTGAATATCTCAATATGATTTCACCAACGATGCGTCTCATTTTGTGGTGAGACCTCACAATTGTGTTACATTCTTTTAACGCCAACATGATTTTCCTACCTCAAACTGTGAGGTACAGGGTAGGAAACTAATTTTTGCATTGGTGCACGGTTTGTGCAAAAATTGAAAGAAATATGTTACTACAGGTGTAAAACAGTGTACAGTAGCAAATAAAACAAATTGTCATATCTTATGCCTAGCATTCGGAATCATAGCTTACGATTTGAGGCGAGTGATTACACTGCCGCTCAATTGCACACCTAAACTCTTCTATAGGGTTTATAAAAAAAATAGGGCATCTTGAGGTTACAAATCACACACTATCTACTAAAAGACACTTCTGTGTTTTTCTGTTAGGATTGTATTTACTGTACATTGTTTTGATGACCGAATATTTCCACAGAAGTACAGAAATTTAAGTGATTTTTTGTTAAGGAGTAGGGAACCACACAGGGGTCAGGGAGGGCAATTTCCCCCTCCCCTTAATTGGACAGGCCTGGACCCCCAGTTATCCGATGCCACAATAAGGCTTCAATTGCCATTCTCTATATATTGTGGTTTAAAATGCACAAATTTTGGCCATACAAAGCCACAAAAACTCTCCCAATGAACTCTACCAGGGATTTTTATTCCGGGACCATGGCCAAGGCTCTTAGTCGACCCCTTTTGTGTGGTCCCCCTGTCGAACATCCCGTCAGAAAATTTCTGTAGCCACCACTGAATCACAGCTCTTGTAGAGGTTTGGTTCCTTCCCGATTTGGCTGTTTAGCTCATGGTAATATTTTATTTACATATGATAATGATATTGATCAATGTACAGTACAGGCACTGACATTATTCTTGATATGTTAATCACCCAAATCAATATAATCCAAGTGCATTTTATTGAAAGGATAGGACTTAGTACAAAATGGAAGCTAAAGCCTGATTTCTATAAAATTGCTACACGCTATCGGCAACTCCTTTGGCAACGCTGATGGTCAGTTGAATAAGGGAGCATTCCTGATTAGGGAAAGCAACACAGTGCAATGATTTTACTGACAACACATAGCGATTATGTAGCACTTTTTAAGGAAACCAGGTTTTAGTATCCAGGGTCCGAAATTGGAAGAAGTCATTTCCCGGGAGATGTCTTCGAACCAACTTTTTAAGCACATCTAATTTTGTTTTGCTACAGTACTTATGGTGATATCAATTAACTGTGAGACAAATGATAAATATTATTTTATTATAGTCTCAGTCAGACCGCCTTTGTTTAAATAGTGTTTTTGTTTCAAAATATACAGAAATATTTGTTTTGGTCTTTTAATAAAGTTTTTGAAATTTTACAGTGTTGTCACTCGTTCACATCCTCAGCTCCTTATTTGTCTACTATTAAGGAACATTGACACCCCCTCCACCCAGGGTGGTGTTATCTTGATCGGCCCCACTTTCAGACATCTCTGGATCCGCCCCTGGATTTTATCTGGAGGTCTTTGGTCGTGGGAAGCTATGGCAAAAAATTCTGGGTCTTAAGGAGTAAAAGGTTGCCGACCGTAGCCCTAGTGTATCTTAAACATCATGCTGCAGCTCAAATCTATGTACTATTACTGCCAGTACAGTAGGGTCTTGTATCCTCCTCTATGATTCAGTATTAAACAAAGGCATGTTATATATTCATTTCCAAGGTGAGGTATTAATCTTTTGTCTATGTCAACTCAACTGTTGAGATCCCTATTTGAGACACACAATGATTTATTTCTTATAGGGCTTAGCTTACAATGGTTCTATTGTTTACTCTGTCTGATAGATTTTGATGATACCTGTAGTTAGATCTGCATTCAATAACCTGTATAAATTCACATCAATTGGTCTAGGTATACACTGCATTCTCATGGCAAAGTTTCGGATGGCCTGGTGGTATTTGGACGAACAACAGACGAAAAAGAAACATGTGGCAAAGACAAGCCAAACCAGTCACTCGTCGCAAAAACCAATTTTGAGTTATTAATACAGTGTTAGAGAGTAAAATAGTAGCTATAAAATGGTAAAAAAATCATTCAAATCCGACATTTCCTTATGAAGTTACAAGCGTTTAAACATACAGCTGTTTAAAGAACAATATATGAGAAATCAGCCTTCAAAGTTTATGTTTTCATGCATTTCTCATGCAGAAACGATCATTAAATCCTTAAAAAGTGTTGTTTTAACATTAAAAATGGGGAAAATAACAGCATAGAACGATGTATAGATATGTAAAGGGTAGTTTAGAGCAATAAAAAAGATTTTTAAAAATTTGACATTCCAGCATGCTTTGGCCATTTTCTCTGAAACACGATTTGCGACGAGTGACTGGTTTGGCTTGTCTTTGCCACATATGCCCAATGTTCAAACAATGAATGTATACAAATCGTATTGATACGTTGTCAGTTGTCACACGTTCAGAATTTTGAACATGTCCAAAATAAAAAAAATCAACCCCAGCAAACCACTAACAATTATGATCATTGTATATCAAACGTGTCATAAACTAATGCCAACTTACGCGAAGGTACACCCAAATTGCCAAAAACATCAGGCACATGTTGGCTAAACATGCACAGTTAATTACAATTATAGGCTTACATTATGATTCAATAGAGAGATGTTAACAGAGGACAATGCTAAGAGGACAATAGTGTTTGTTGTTTGCCTTAAAAAGTTGAAACATTTGTAAATAAAATCATGGTTTGTAAAAGATTTCTACTAAAAAGTACTATTATTCATTTTAGTTCTTGCCTTGTTCAAATTACCACTAGCAGTATGGTTTTAAGTAATATTTTGTAAGTAGCGATATTTGACAAAATTCATTTGAATTTGTGTTAAAAAATATGAGATTTATTTATTAATTTAGTTATCTATCTGTATTTTTTTATTTGCATATTTTAACAATATTTATTATAGAATCTGATAAAAGTAGTTGGAAGATTTTAAGGGTATTTCAACCAAACATTAATAATAATGAGTACATTTTATTTTACTGAATATTAATATTTTTGTAAATGTTGACGTTTGGAACAACCTTCTTTTTATCTATCATAATTAATTAAATGTTTATGTCAAATTCAATATACATTAATCAAAGAGATCAACAAATTTAACAATTTACAAACACATCATCATCTACTTAAAACAAAAATATAGTAATCGTTATTCACAATCAATGAATTTATTGTTCCTTAACTGATAAACAAAAGTGATACAAAATTTTATCAAAAAATATCACATCTTCAGTTAGTTTAATGTGTAGACTGAGATACAGTATGTGCACAATTAATGGAATATTCATAATGTAATTGCTTTATGGGTAATTATTTATGTGTCTTAGGAGACATTGACACCAGTAGGTCAGTGACCTCGCATCAAACCCTGCATGTGGTTTTGTATCAAGTAATCTAGTGTGGATAAATGATGCACACTAATTGTCTTTACCATTCCAAACATAAATTAATGCTATTTCATCACAAAGAAAAAATAATGCACTGCATTGTTTAATTTTACTGGTAGATTGAAACTGATAATATGCTTTTATAATTTACTACATGATTATTATTCTTTCAATAAGATAAGTTAGTTAAACAAAACTTGATGATAAAGAAGAAAGGTTTAATGTTATTATCATATTTATTTATAATCAATCAATCGTTTATTCATCAAAAGCACACACATACAATAATAGCAATAAAATTAAAATAAAGAAGATAAAAGGACCTCCACGAAATCCCAGAGGGTTTATAAGAGACCCACAAAAAGAAGATAGTTACTTATTAATAACACTGACAGCATAAGATTATAAATAAATAATAAATATGAATCAATAAAGTAAATCTAAATCTTCCTTCAACAATGGCAAAATACAATTCAGCCTAAATGCCAAATAAATTGTTTATAAATGGCAGTAAATATGATGTATGTTATTACCTATTAATTATATATTCAATAAACTTTTACTGGGTACTTGGATAAACAGCAAAGTGCCAACTCTTCCCTCTGGGTCCCTTGGGATCTGACAACCTCTCCTCCTCCCCGATTATTGCTTTAAATATTGTTACTGTAAATGAAATGCCAGTGAATAGAAATTTAGAAATTGATCGCGTCAACCAAAAGTGACGACATTGTGTCACGCATTGGAATCTATTTTACACGGCACGTTCCTTGCTTTTGCAGTCTGCATGCTTGTTAAAAGATGACTTAAGAGCGTACTAATAGGCAAGAATGTTTTTTCGTTGTGCAGCAGTGAAATAGAATATGATTATATTCTGAGTAATAGTACATTGCTCTGCCACTATAGGCGCACAAAATTTTTCAAACTTTTTAAATTTTCCATTTTTGTTGTTTTACCTTTGTTGTTTTACTTCCATCGTTTAGTTTTTCTAGGATAGGCTAGTCTAGACGCCAACATCACTTGAGCATCTGTGAGTTATGAATCCTGCAAACCACTGCTTGCCTGTGGTCTCAAATTGCAGGAAAACGGTGCGGTGATGTTGGTTCCCCTGCGATAGTCTGTTTTCTCACGGTTTTTTTATTCTTAGGTCGCTTGGTTAGTTTTTGGTTTGTTTTCTTTCGTGTAATTTAAGCGCACAGAGACCACGTAGTATGCACTTTACAAGTCCCAAACCATTACCATTACCAAAATTATTTATTTATTAGTATTTTAAAAGTATTTATTAGTACTATTGGTAATTTACCTGCCCTTTCTATGTGGCTTAGAAAATCTTTAAATAGGCGTTATTATTATTATAATTATTTATTAATTTTTATTTTTCAGAGATTGAAAGGCTCAACGGTTGCAGGTGAGCTACTGTTCTGTGGTGGTACCAATTGGGATCTGACGGGACGTAGTCAAGTCCCAAAGCATGCCCGTGTACCTGGTAGTTCCCCTATTGGTGGTCGAAACCTGTGGAGTCCTCACCGTCTATCGGCCCTATCAGGGGTTCGAGTGAAGGCAGTGTTTTCTGGCCCGGTAGCTTGCCACACTTTGCTAGTGACTGAAGAAGGCAAGGCCATGAGCTGGGGTAAGTTAATGCAGAAAGTTTTTCTACTTTTACTCATCGTAAACAAAACCTGTTTAATACTTTGACTGCTAAGCCTTTTTTTTCCTTCTAGTTCCATTCCATTCACCAAGGCATTTCCTCGTCATAATAAAACCTGTTTAGTACGTTGACTGCTAGGCATTTTTTTTTTCTAGTTCCATTCCACTCACCAAGGCATAAAGGACGCCACCATAATAGAAGTTATTTCTATCAACTGTAGTGAAACACAAACTAATATTTGGTAGTTATATTTAGATCATTACCGCCAGGTTGAGAATTCACGTTCTGGCAACCACTGCCAGCGACCTTACGCAGACATTCCAACCACTCCGATTTCGGCGGAGTTACTCCTTTTACTTAAGCAAAACTCCATACTCCGATTTTGGTAAAAAATCCCTGCTTTTTACGCATTTTGGCCATCTGAAATATATCGCGCATTTCCGAATAAAAATGATAATCTAATGATTGGTAATGTTGAGCTTCCTCCAAAAAAGGAGCTAAAACACACCCAAACATGCAAGTTATAACAGAAAGTATCCTGTCAGTTTGAAATCAAAATTACTGTAGGTGATGCCTACGGTACGCTTGTTGCGATTGGTGTGGTGTTGATTTTCTGCCTAGGGCCTAGTCTTTCACGGCGGTATTGCTGTCGTGAGTCAAAATGGTTACATTTTACAATCCGATCACATTGGTACCATGTCTTAGGAATACTTCTCTCACATTGCCCAAACTCCGCTCAGAAGTTTTTCAGACTTCTCTTGTTGGCCATGTAGGGTTGGCATGTCTGCTTACGTGCAATGCAATAGTCGTATATTTGTAGAGTTCGCGTTGCCCTGCTGAACCCTATCAGATGTGAACTTGCATCCAGCGAATATGTTCAAAATTAAAAAATAACTGACATTGCTGCATTTTATTTTCCAGGCCGTAATGACAAGGAGCAGCTTGGACACTGTGATGCTATCCGAAGGGACACCCCAACACTCATCGAAACACTTAAGGATTACACCTTAGTGGAGGCTGCATGTGGCCGCAACCACACTCTTTGCCTGACCAGTAAGTTCTTAAACATGACTGTATATTTCTCTTGTATGTATGTGTAGGGATATGTGGGCTTTGTAGAGCTGTGTCTACTCTATAAAATTCTATGTGACAAATTTGTATGATATGCCCAAATATGGGCATGATAATGTTAACTCATACCCAAATATGGGCATATCAGTTTTTTTGTCACATAAAATTTGATAGTGAGCACAAAGCTTTATGCTTAGCTTGGGATCTGGGTGGCATACTCGTGGATGCTTGTTGGCAGATCCCCATGCCTGGCTCATAGGTGTAAGTGGATTGGCTGATTTTGTAGATCTATTCCTGATTTATCAAATTAAATGTTGCAGTATTCAATTTTGCATACCTTCCTGACAGATGAAGGAGAAGTGTTTGCATTTGGTGAGAATAAATTTGGCCAACTTGGGCTTGGATTCCAATGTGAGGGAAACAAAGATGAGAAGACATCGATTGGCAAACCTCAAAAGGTATGAAATATTAAATTTCGTAAAACCTAAAATTTGAATATAAGTAACTGAAGCTATGTTAATTTTTGTACCAAAATAAAGGGCAAAGTTTTTATCTACACTCAGTTTTATTGATTTGTGTGATGTGTCCATATTTGGGTATGATGATGTCATATTACATCCAAATATAGGCATATCACATTTATTTGTCGCATACAATTTGATGGTGTAGACAAAGCTTTGGTCAACCTGTGTCAAAGATGGATGGATGGATGGATTTATTCAGTGTAAACACAAAGGATAACCCACGAAAGTATAAAGAAGACTTCTTTCCAGTGGGGTCCTTCTGGTGGTGAGTGGGCAGTACACTGGGACACAATCTCCTACTCTTTTCCGAAGAGTTCTTTAACGTGCACATAGGCCATATGGCACACAGGACCAACAGCTTAAACGTCTCATCCAAAAGACGGTGCGCTATCGTAACTTGCATTCAACCCTCTACATGAAACACAAGGAGAGCGGTGATTGGAATTGAACCGGTGAACAAGAGATCTCCACGGTTCAGCGCACACACAGTGTCGAATGTTACTGCTGTTCAAACTTTTAATTAATACAATAAAATACATACTACGTTAATATGTAGTATGATTTGTAATAAGTGTTTTGGTCATTCTAATTGTATATATTCTGTGAGAAGTTCAGCGATTTCTGCAGCAAATAGCACATGCTCAGACATATTTAACAGATTTGCATTGTTTCAATTGAACACATCTGCTTAGGAAAAGAAACATCCCAGCTATTTTAATTTTTGTCACTGTTGATTAAAATGTAAATTCCTCTTTCATTTTCAGATTTTATACGATGGTCAACCAATCACAAGAGTAGCATGCGGCGGAGACTTCAGTATGGTTGTTGACCTCAAAGGTCGTCTGTACTCATTTGGTCACCCAGAATACAGCCAATTAGGTAATGTCTATCTGCCTGTAACATCTTATTTCAAAATTTGATAGTAAATATATATCTTAGCAATTTTTTTTTCCCAGATATATTTATTTCATTTATGGTAATGACAGATTAATGCCAGAGTTTTTAAAAATAGGTTCTCTTGGCTTATCCTTACCTTTGGTTGCTGGATGCTGTCAAATGCCATGAATTTCAACCACAATCTCCGCTAAGTTATTTAGTATCTTTTATTAATACGAGCTTCTCTTGAGTATAAGACCGCTTTTACACTGCAAGCAAAACTCCGGACACAACCCGGGATTTTACAATACCTGGGCTAGAAACTCCCAATAGTATCAATGGCAAAAAATACCTCCCTGGTTGCCCGGGTTCGATATGTGGGACGCATTCAGTGTTGGACAACCCGGGTACATCCCGGAATCGCCAGTGTAAGCAACACTGAATTTGATTCCCGGAGTTAGACCTTACCTAGTGCCTACCGCAGTAACGGTCAGGTAGCCCTATACTATGCTAGCAAAGGGCTACGCCAAGACACTTTTCAAATTAAACCTCCTGCGCTCCCGTATAGACTTGATATCAAAAATGCTATTTTAATGCACATAATTAAAAACAAAAATTTGCAGATACATTGCTTCAATAATTACAATAATTGCTGCTTCTTCACAACGAGATACTCGAATCCATCGTAACAAAAATTGAGGGTGGTACTTGAACCCGAGTTCATTGCCGGTGTAAAATGGGAGCTACTCGGGATCAATGCAGACTTTTATCGTTAGATTTAAATTGGAAATGCACCCAAGATCACTCCGGAATGAACACAGGTTTATTCTGCTCTTTGCATTGTAAACTGGTTATTAGACTGTCACTAATATCACTAAGGACCTTTCCGCTAAGCCCAGCCCCTTTCTATATTGTTGCTAAGGTCAGTGTTAAAACATACAGTACACAAACATGTGCGTATTCCTTGCCCTGTTTCTGATTGGTCAGTTAAGTTGGATTGACACTGGAGAAAGGTCTCCATTGACAATTCTTGGCCCATGTCCCTAATGAATATAGTATAATGAAATATAAAATAAAATGAATAATTCATATAATCTTTTAACAGGTCATGATAATGATGGTCAGTATTTTGTGACGTCCAAGAAAGTGACCTTTGACTGCCAGCTAGTTCCAAAGCGAATCCAGTTGTACATAGAGAGAACTCGCGAAGGCCAAGTCAAGCCATTGACTGGGGTGCTCATCAAAGATGTTGTATGTGGTGTCAACCATACTGTAAGTCAGAATGAAGATACATTTTGTAAGGATGTAGGAATTGCTAGGTTTAAGAAGTGACACGCAGGGGAGAGTGGGTATAATTTATGTGATTGGAAGGGACAGGAAATGGAAATGTTTGGAACCAGGTAAAAAACAGGTTTGTTCCGAAGTGGTGGGAGTGAACAACATTCAGGGATGTAGTTATGGTGGGCGAGGCCACCCAGTCTTAATTTTTCACCCAGTCCAATGCTGATTTCATGGCCCTCCACCCACCTTTATTAACCCCCTTGGCATTCCTTTAAGTTCACGCTTTACCAATGTTATCACCCACCTACCCTTAAGCTACAACCCTGACAATATAAAAAAAAAAATCCCAATAAAAAAATCTGCCCTTACAAAAAGCCATAGATATTTAATTGTTCCTGTCGACTTTTTTTCATGCAGGTTTGATAATTGATAGGTTATGGAGGGGTAGATGTGAAGGATAGAATGTAGTGAGGTTAAGAAGTCAGATGTATATTAGAAGTAATGTATGAGGAAATGTATTATTGATGATATAATAAACATATTACATTGACCTTATACGTTTTTGTAGGTTGCCTTGGACATCCAGAAAAGAGTGTTCACATGGGGTTTTGGTGGATATGGACGTCTTGGGCACCAGGGACCAAAAGATGAAGCAGTTCCACGCATACTCAAGCCCTTTGATATGCCCAATAGAGGGGTCAAGTCCATCCATGGTGGGTCAGCATACTCCATGGCTGTTACAGAGTTTGGTGAGTATTGGGCAAAAAGTTAATTGAGAGGTAATAAGTTTGGTTTTTAATTTCTATCTTTTCTCTATGAACCCACATACGGTACAAGTGTCAGAATTTAGGTTTGCTTGCAGTTAGAAGCTATAAACATTGGACCACACAAGAAAAGGTAGTTTTTTTTCCCCACTCAAACAAATAGAGGTCAAACAGACATGCACTATTTATAAATTAGATGGCAAGACAAATAGCTTACATGATTGACTTAGAATACAAGTTACAAGTTATTATTTGTATAGGATTTACCAAATAGCCTAATGTAATGCTATGGTAAAATACACTATCAACGACGTAACTGATGTTCTATTTCCTTGTCACACCGCTGAAAACATTACATTTTGCTTGTTAAATAAATATTCTGCCATGTAAACCAAATAAGTTTTAGATTACTTTTGTTGAATTTGTGTTCTTTTTTCTTTAAGGTATGCTTTTCTTCTGGGGTCAAGCCAAGACTACTGGTGAAGCAACTATGTACCCTAAGCCTGTCCAAGATCTTAACGGGTGGAACATAAGAAGTGTCGGATGCAGGTAAAATAATGTTGCATTAAATTTTGTTAATATAGGTATTTGCAAAAATTAACTTGTGATGATCATTACAAAAATGCCATATGGGACCTCACAGCAGTATTGTTGCGGCCCACGAAAATATATTTGAAACCCTGTAAGACTTGCCACAAGTCCCTTGTTATTATTTTTTCTCATTCTGGACAGCACCACCAACAAGCATGTTAATTTTGAGACAGAATAAGGGACTTGTAAAACACTGTGAATGCGAAAAGAATGACGTAATCTTATATTCCGTATTTGGATAAATGGGCTTGCCGAAATCATGCCTACCATATCCCACATTTGATGTGTTAAATCGTACGCATAAATGATCAGACAGCGTTTGCCCAGGCCCTAATCCGAAAAAAATGAATTTCGAGTATGGGACGCCAAATGAATTAGGTATGGTGCACAATAAAGAGTGAGTAACCTAAAATTAGGGCCTGGAACCCAGGCTAACCCTATGTGTGCGACTTATGTACCATCTTCAGCTACCAAATCCCTTTGTTGTATGCCCAGATGCTGATCATCTATAAAAGTAATATTAAAACTGAGATTAAAAACACAAAAGCAGTGCGTGAAAATTTTTACAAGCTCACTGAAAACATAAATTTTTCACCGTAAATTGCCTACATTTTTGCCTAGATGGAAGTACTTTCATTTCAAGTTTATTTTTCAAGTTTCTTTATTTATATCAAATCTGCTGCTGAGGCTGAATTACATGATACTTACAATATAAAAATATAAAGCATTAGCAGAAGACAGAAATGTTAAAATACATGAAAATTAAATACACCAATGAAACACCATAAAAATAGAAAAAGAGCACAACACAAAACATAATAATTTTAAGAAAGTTAAAAATACAATATAGAAATGTGAAAAAAAGGAATACTGCATAGATTAACAAAAAATCATGAAATTCATATAAAAAATACATACATGTTGATATTATTTAATTAATAATTTTATTTTCTATTGAAGCCTATTAACGTAATTGATTCAAAAAGCAATAGGAAATTGAAATATTGAATTTAATTATTCTAGTTACTTCAAGGCAGTAAGTATATCTTGTTTGTAAAAGATTTTGATTATATATATATCATGACTCATTAAAAAGAAATATTTATATTTTGGAATATTGTTTCCCATAGCAATCGGTCTATTGTAATAGCAGCTGATGAAAGCCTAATTAGTTGGGGTCCATCCCCAACATATGGTGAATTAGGTTACGGTGAGAACGGGCCACGTTCATCAACTTGCGCCAAGGAGGTGAAGACGGTAGAGGGCATTTTCATACACAGCGTTGCATGTGGGTACGGACACACTGTGATGTTGGCCAGAGACGATGAGACAGAGGAGAAAGAGAAAATACAAAAATTACCGGTCTTCACACCGACACCATAGGGCTCCATGTTTATTGCCATGATCACGTTTGGTGAAATATGGTGCATCGCCCACAGGTGCACAGCTTAAGACGGGTATTTCGGTGGATCTATCCACAACCAAATGATTAAACAGCAATTCTCTGGTGCATCTGGCATTTTTTATTTCCCGATGCATGGAAACTGCAGCTGTACTTACGACTTTGTGGAGTTCCACATGCAACATATAAAATGGCCGTATCAGCCCCTTTATTCGTAAAACTTATGTGTCATGAGGTAGGTCATGGCAACTGTGTTTGATTACTGTGTCACAGAGGATGATACTGCCCTTCAAAAATGTTACTATTTCCTAAATATTATTTTCAAAAAGCTATATATCATTCAGAAGCAGCCCACCATGCCAGTTCTAATACATACCAAATTTTATAAATTTCTCTGTAGACCCAAGAAGAATGTTTGCTTTATATCAGTTCCAGATACTTTATATGTCATTGTAATCTATATTGTTGACAATTATTCTTTAAGGATTTAATTTGTAGTTCTCCGGGAAGTAAATTTTGCTGCTATGTATCAACTAGGTTTCATCAGTTTAAGCAGGCATAATCAAAGTCTTGGGTCTTGGGTACAAACCGTTGCTCACATCATGAAATAACAAACACAATCAAAGTAGGTTTTGTTAGTTTATGAGTTAGCGCAAGTATTGTTATTCAAGCAATTTTGTTTTCTTTACCAAACAAAAACTCTGTAACGACAACAGTGCGTATTGGAACACGCTTTTTGTTACCACAATCTACTTTTAGTGTGATTCTGATGTGAGCGAATTTCTATTGGGTTACGTAATTGCCATCAAGTACAGCCATTTATGTTGATGTTCCATTTCGATGTAAAATCTGTAAATATAAATCAAAATCAATAGAGTGTAAAATAACAAGAGTGCGCACTTTTGTATAAAGCGTACATAATCAAACCATGCCAACATGACAGCACCTCGTCATTAGCAAGTCGAGGATGCTTTAGATAACATGACATTTGCACTATAATGTTGGGGGCTGGTCTGTCTAATGTTAAAATTGTACATTCAAAAACATGCTTTTTATATTATTAGATTTCCAGAGCCCTGTCAGTTTGTTAATAGCAAATTTGCTGATTTGGCTCGATGCGCCCTATATCTTCTTTGTACAACTCTAGGGAAAATTTATACTCTCTGATGCATTTCTTAGCATACAATCAAGCCGCATATTGGTGGCCTAGTCATGTGGAAAAGAAATATGTTTTGGTAAATATAACAGAAAATCCAATTGCCCCAGCACAAAAGATAATTTCTTGCCATGTCTTGAAAGTTGGGAATTTTCTCTTTGCAAAAACAGTGGTACATTGATTACCCAAGTTGACAAATATCATTTTTTTTTTATTCATTAGATCTTCCTTTGTGGCCAGGCAGCCCCCTTTAAAGAAACCTTTCTTTTATTATTTTCTTTGAGCGTTGCACATAAATGTAGTTTCTACGATAGAGGCAAGTACTTTGGATAGACTCAGCAAGTGATTTTTGATCACTAAGGCCATAATATTCACACTCATTCCACAGCCACAGTACATGTACAGTTAAACTTGCCTAACTCGAATAATTTCTAAGTCGAACTTATTTTACATGCCAAATTGTTGTGTTTTCCATTAATTGACAATCTGTAAGTCGAATATTTACTAAGTCGAACAATTTTTCAATGGCATTTTGGAATCGACTTAGGCAAGTTCAACTGTATTGGTAAATATTTACTGTAAATATATCTTTGATTATTTTTTCATAAAGTCTTAGTAGATTTCTGTGAAATCTGATTTTTTTAAATTTTTTTTTTAAAGGAATCCACTTGATATGTTGTATAGTATTCCTGGATCGAATGTCTGTAAAATATTTACTTTATTTCAAAGTTTTGTATGGTGGATTACTACGAAGATGGGACTAAGTGTACAGTACAAGTAATTCATTGGTTGCAATGAAAACTATTGTATGTATGCACCACTGTTGAAACATTTTTTAATTACTCCGTCGTCAATGATTATACAGTAAAGTCCACATTCATCATGCTGTTTTTTTTTCTATGAATATTTTTTAGTAATAATGTTATGAATTTAACTTCATAGAAAATGGAAATGGGAAAACATTTTTCTCATACAAAATTTGTCCCATGATTTTGCAATCTAATATTTAATAACTTATTTTTAAGTTCATGAAATATGGTAAGTTCATGTGTAAAAATACACAGGTGTTTGAAATGTGTATGTGTTCAAAATGCCCAGGTGTGCATCATTTTCATGTGCTTAAAATGCACAGGTTTTTAATGTTCTTGTGCTCAAATTACCAAGGTGTGGGAAATAATTGTGTGTTCAAAATGCCCAGCTGTTTGAATGCTTATTTGTCAGCTAATTAATTCATTTTCCATGATCCTACAACAAAATTCTTTCGTAGATGCTGAATTTTGCAAATTATCTCAAAAAAATTCTGTAAGATGAACTTAAAGCTGAAGTACAAATCAATTTATCACTCATTATAATATTACTATTTTATTATTAATATTCTCCCTTCTATTTTCAGAGCTCTTACAAATTATTTCAAATTTTGTCTTTGATAACGGAATTTTGCAAATAATGCATATAAAAATTCTGTAGGAGAGCATGAATTTAAGAAAGCATCGAATGTCCTGGAAAATAATCTATAAAGTAATATTAATTAGTGGAACACCTACTAATGTTAACAGGATTTAGAAAACTGCACATTTGAACATTTTCCAATTAATTCATGGCATTATGTACAGAGAGCTGTTTATGGATTTGCTGCTAGAAGCGCCATGTTCTTTTGGAATAAAGTGATTTTTTTTAAAAACACCATGCACCCTGAATGGTGGGCACTACTGTATTATGTCACCAGCATTATGATTGATTGATAAACACATTGGTTGTCACCAACTGATATGTAAATTAATACATCTTGTACAAGATCACCAACAAATTTGCAATATATTATTCCAAGTAGTTATGCTGTGAAATTAGCAAACTCAACAAAAAGCCAGTACAGTATGTAGATTGTGTGAGGATAAAATAGCAATGATTGAATAAGTCAGTATGTACAAATGGTACGTGATATGCTAATCAAATTTTATTCCAGTAATTAGTCCTTGAATATCAGGCAATGTAAACAAAATCTAGTGATTGGTCAGATTGATTATGGATGAACTGTATACTTAATATTAATGGATCTTTTAGCCTTGATCAAAGATTATAAAATAGGAAGAGGTCCGACTGAATCCTTTCTCGATAAGTACTACCACGATCTGGAGGGCGCTCTTCAGAAGAACTTAAAAGTTGTTCGTATCGAACGCATGCTGCGTCTATGCCCGAATTTTTAAATCTATTTGAATTCTAATAGGGCGCCACCTACCTTGCGGTAGTACTTTTTTGTCCGTTTCATGCAAAATTCTATACTCTTCAGCTTGATCTATCAAAAGGTTCCCTATGATCAGGTATTCAGGTGAAAAAGAAATTTATTTGGTTCCACATTAGAGAATACGTGGATATTTCTTGGTGAATCAAAAAAGCAAAAAAAAAAAAAAAAAGGAAAGGTTGTGGTTCTAGCCTTTTCAGCTGCTTGTCTTTGGTGAAGCATCCAAAGTTGTCTACCAGATTTATAATTAGCATGCTGTAACACTAACCTTATTTACACTACGATTATAAAACGTTATAATTTGCTATCAGATTCGGTATTAAATTACGTTTTTACACCTAGTGACTGCATTTGATAGCAAATAAATAGGAATCAAATTATGACTTTTTTTTTTCAAGTGGAAATACGGTTGTTGACTATTAATCGGTATGCGTACTTTTGCTGGCAAATTGAGGAAGCTGCACACGTGAAAATGTTAACATTTTAAGTGCTTCTGTTGTAAAAATACAAAACATGGATAGAAGATCCTAACATTATTATGTGAATATTATTCTTGCAATGTTTGATCGTAACCATTGAATTAAGCCAAATAAAGATAAAAAATCTGGCTGGTACTGCGAATATTGGTTAAAAATTTGGTTCAAGAATCTCTGTTCCTACAAATGGAAGAGGTTTCGGAGTCTTGTGTTCAGATATTTGGTGCTTTTTTGGTATTTGATTAAATTTGGTAGAAATTGTAAATTATTAGATTTTTTACTCTCTGATCTTCTTTATTACAATTTATTCTGATCTTTTATCCAATACATTATTATTGACATTGCCATGTTAGTACTACATATCAATCTGTGATTGGTTGATAATGTTCAGGGAAATGTTGCTTTCCTTTTTTTAGTGTTTAATACCATAAATGTTGTACATAAGTTAGTTGATTAGTTAATTATCGTTAAACATTGTTAATTACTGACCAGAACACTATAGTTGTTCTGCTGCTAGTCAGTTTTATTTTTCACTTTATGAAAAAAAAATTACCGTATTTGATTATCTCTGTCATTATTTAACTTGTACCTTTATAACAACTATGCGTTGATCTTATACCAAGCATGATCTACACTTAATACCTTGGCTTTCACCACAACTCAGCTTGCACTCAATTTGCATTCACTGTAGCTGTTGTCATAACTTGGTGTACGCTCATCTTGCACTTACCCTAACATTTTTGCTATCTGTATCATGAGTATATTTACCTTGCACTCACCCTAGTTGTTGCCACCATGGGTTGCACTTGCCCTAGCTGTCCTATTAAAGGGTACACTCAACTTCCGATCACCCTAACTGTTGACATCATTGGGAACACTCATTTTGTAATCGCCTTATCGTTACGTGGAACACCCAATAGCGCCAAAAATCTTTGCCATCTAAGGGTGCACTCAATTTGAATCCATACTTGAGTACTCGCTCAAGTTAACTGTTGCCAAATTTAACACTTAAACCTAGATGTTACCATTATTTCGTCATTTTCCTTATTATGTTTAGCTGTACTCATTCAGCCTTGCTTACTAAGTAGACAAAGTAATTTACGTTCACCTCACACCACAATACCTGGTGATTGTATCATGTTGGATAAATAAGGATTCACCAAGTACCATTACAAACTTTCCCTATGTGTATATATACATACATTCACATAAATATATGTATTATTTTCTTTTTACTATTTAAGTGACTACAATAAAGTTGAATGTTTTTTGTACTTCAAAATGTTTTTCTTTATTCTGTTTGGCTCTTAAAATCTACAGTCATAACATAATACTAATCAGAAACAATACAATTATTTTGTCATCTTGTGTCTGTCAAATGAAAAAGTGGCAGTGTAAGAAATTATAATAGTAATATACACATGCTTCTCCACAATGTGGTACTGTTTTTTTGACAAGTATACTGTATTACATTTCTCTTGCAGGTCTTGGCAATATTCTTCTCATGGACATAAAAATAAACAGTAAATCATTTTAGGAGCCATTAAGACTCATAGGGGTCACCTCAGTTTTTGTAGCACGAAGCGTGCGATACTTTCCTTGGATGGGAGCCGGTCCATCGCAAGTTACTCCCAGCGATTTTGACATAACTGAACACTAAATCCAAACTCCGATTTCTGTTAGTGACAGACGATGCAACGCTGTCTGCTGATTGCCGGTAGCAGTTTAATGAGTCATTAAAAATGATCCATTGCGCGTGCGTCATCGCGTTCTTCATAGAATCGCAGTGACTGCTGGTTTTTAATGCAGTAGTGTACAAACTGTAATGTCTAGTACTATATATACTGTATATTATTTTAATTGATTGATTATAAACCCAGATTGAGGACCTAAATATAATTTACATGTCTTCTCATCTGAATAAATAAGGGAAATCTGCTGCCCTTATATTTGGAATTTGGACAAATATATTCATTGGAATGCGCAGTTAAAATATTATAAATACAGTACATCTGTTCTTAACTCTACACTATATTGTCGATGGAATCAAAACTTTAACAACTGTATTCCTTCACCAAAACCCAGCTAATTGTAAAAACTAAAATACTTCTGAGGGTATTATGCTAAGCACATTTCCCTTTAATTTACACTTAAATTACAAAGACAGTACAGTACATTATCTCTTGTGCGTTATTATCATTAGTAATGAATGGAAAGAAGATGGCTGAGCAGTTAGGGCAGGGGCATCGCAATGTACAGCTATAATATCTGCGCGCTAACCTACAATTCTGATGGTGGAACAAGTTGTCTCGAATAAGGAAACTGTAGGCCCAGTGTACACAATTGGCTTATGTGCACTATAAATACAGCCCCTGTTGTTGGTACCAGTTTACCAGGTAGCTCAGACACGAAGAGGCCCTTTGGGGTACGAGCTAGTCCACACTAGCTTTGAGACTCTGGCGTAAAGCGCTATATAAATCTAACTGCATTACATTACGTTTTGTATGCATTCTCGAAAAAGAAAATTATACTATGCTAATGATGCCATGTATAATATTTGCCCATTAAAAGAATTTTCAATTTATTGTTTTTCATAATTATATATAATAACCATAATAATTCATTAAATAACTTTTGCACTTTTCTGAAGAGTACTTACTAGATATTTAAAGTGCACATGAGCTATATCCTGTATTTCACTGGGAGACAAATTTTTTAGCACGGTGGATATCACTTGTTTCAGCCTTTCTAACAATGATAGACAACTAATTATTTGTTTTATCATAGATTCTATTTTCACCTCTGTATAAAGCACTGTATAAATTTATTATCATAATTTTTTTTTAAAGAGTACATTCAATTAAAAAAAAAAATCATAAATTCAGTCCCACCGTCACAAGAGATCTGACAAAAACATGGTACAGCATGATACAAAAAAGTTTTTATACAAAATATTTGCATGGAACATTCAATTATTCTTATAAGGTAAAAAAACATAACAGCTAATATTTGTGGTATTTCAACAAAATTCTATTTGTAAGGATTAGGATCATGTGACCATACCCCAAGGACAAACCAAAAATCGAAAGAGAGGAGGGTTGTTCCAAAAGTATCCATATTGTCTGAACTTAATAAAATACACGCTGTTCTTAACTCCAGAATACAGGTATTATAATATTGGCGCCTTAATGCCATATCTAGTATTCATGAAATATGGGGGACGCGGCGTGGCACGATGATTAGGTGGGGGGACGCTAGTTGCAAAATAAGGTGATTTTTAAATACTGGAGCATGAATTTCTTGTTTCAAACATGTTTAATGCC